AAATTAATTTCTAGCACGTGTCTCGAAATCGTGCGTAAGTGAAGCAGCGGCAAGGCAAGGAATTTTTGCGTAGTCATCGCAAAATTTGTGGAATATGCGGCAATGGCGGATCCTGGGGAGGGAGGCAAGGGAGCCTGTCTTCTCTCGCGAGTATTTCCTTACCTGTACTTCTATTTGGCGAGTGAGGGTCATTTCATCCCAATGCAGTCGCTGCAACAGGGAAAATTTAAATTTTGAATTTGCCTGACACATTGGAAGAATTTGAAAAGGTTAAAGTATTACATCAAAAATATTTTAGTGAGTTATTTTCCAAATAAAGCAAAACTTTTATTTCAAACCCTTACATTTTGTATGCGGCACTCAATAATTTAGTTAAATCCAATACAGTAATACTCGTTTGCCTATACTCGCTGATGCCAGTTCGTGTAAGAGAACATCGTGCTTGCATATATTGCTCATATATTTTATGAGGGTTCTTAGATATTACTTTCTCGCTACCACTTACACAGTAGACAGAAAGTTGAGTAATGCTGCGGCAGAAAAACCGACGAAAATGTATTGCCGGGTCCTGGTAAGACCAAGTGGATAAATCCAGTTGCTAAATTTAGAAGAAAAAACTAGCATGTGGTGTAGGCAGAGTCCATGTTTTGTGGGTTCTTGATACGGAAAAATCGATTGACAGCAAAATGTCTGCCAGGCCGTCCGTCTGTCCGCGAACAAAGCTAGTGGCTATATCGTTTAGGTGATGTGCTCCAAAACTGATATTCCCCAATCGATCTGGCTGATGTCGCGGAGCAGTAAATTTGTAACCGATATTTTAACTTTAGGTAAGATTTAACATGAAGTCCCTGCGATTTTCGAAATTTTCAAAAATATGGCACCAAATATTTTCATTAAATTTTGACCTGAGAAACCGTAATAGACACTTAACAGAAATGTGCGGGTCTCATGTTTGTTGAAAGCCCTAATTTTTCAAAAATTGGAAAAGTTAAAATTTTTTCAGCGTTTGCCTACTACAAAGATAGAGATTTTTCCCTCAACTAAATCTGTTTCTTAAAGATAAATTTTGAAATATAGTTTTGTACACTTTTTCGAAAATTGGAGTACGTATAGCATAATTTTGCGTGAAATATAGGCAATTTTTAATTTTGTTTAAATGATTTTTCTCAAAACCGGCTCAAACATTTTTGATTAAATTTTGTTGTTAGACAGTGAGAAAGGCATTTGAAAGAATGGTGCAGATCTCACGTACCTGGATAATTCTGACTTTCGAAATTTGCACATATTAAAATTTTATCGGCGTCTTTCTACAACTATAATTATGAAGTTAAACATTTTTTCTTAAATGAGTTAAAAACATCTTCAAATAATGTCACGTCCAATTTTTAGAAAATAGAAAATATATTTGCGAGTTTTTGTGACAAACATAGGCAATTTTTATTTTTAAACAATTTTACCTTTAAAAACGCGCAACTTTCTTAAATTAAAGATTGACCTTAGATAGCTTTAGGATGCTTAAGAGAATGGTGCAGGTCTCATGTTCGTTCATATCCCTGATTTTTCTAAAATTGAAAAAAACAAATCGATGTCTTTGTATAGCTACAATTGCGAAGATACATTTAAAAAAAATCAAATGTATTCATCAAAACATCTTAAAATAATGTTATGATGAAATATTCGAAAAATGAGTATTTTTTTACTTATTAGGTGTCAAATCTTGTTGCCCGTTCCGAATATCCTGCACTTCGTGAACGTAAAATGAATGGTGATGGCAGGCAGTTACAATATGTGTATAATTTCATTTTTCTTTCTTCAGTTCTTACATTCGAGGTTTTGATATACGTTAACAAATATTTCTTTAAGAAATTATTTAAAACCTATTTCATAATTCATATTTTTCGTCGGTGTTTCGAAGAATGTATTTGCATTCTCAATGTACTGATGTACTGGTATTTTCTTTCAAGCAATCCGACAACCCTAATTGAAATAATCCTACTTAAGTTTTCTCTCTTAAAAATACGATTTAAGAGTAATATTAAATACAAATTGCTAGCCTTAAGGAAATAGCAGATTGGAATACGTCAATGGCATTCCGCCCCGCGAGACGGCAGCTGTAATTCTGTGAATTGCGTCGTGTTGTTGGGACATGATTTAGCTGTAAGAAACTCAGTTATAATTGTCGCATTTGAGTTCATATTTGCTTGAAAATATTTAGTTTTCGCACCTAATGTTCTACGATTTCTAATGAGTTTTACAAAAATTGATGACAGGGATACGTTAACTATTCGGAGAGAAAATGCGGTATAAATAGTATTACGTTACCACAACTAAGGGCGAGAAACTATGTGCTATTTTAGCACCACTAGTTTATTTATTTTCGGTAATCAGGAGGATGATTTCTATACAGTTGTAAATTTGCACTAGTAGACAAAAAGAGACTGATATAGAGAACGAAATATCTAATTAATATTGCACCGCACTGCAATGCAAATAAACCAACAAACCAACAAATAAATAAATAAATAAATAAATAAATAAATAAATAAATAAATAAATAAATAAATAAATAAATAATGAACAAATTGCCTTATTAATTGGATTGTTGGTGAGGTAGATACCTTTTTAATATGATAAAAAAAATTGCCTTACTTTTACTTCTTGCCGATGAGTCGGAATGGCAGACACATAACTCGTCAAGTCCTGCAACACCCTTTCGAATATGGGTATGATGAAATTCTCCAGTCTACTTCGTGACAACAACGACGACTGCAACAACTTCCATAAGAGAGTCCAGACGCCTAGGCCAGTGATGTGCACTTGCGGAGGCCCCATATTGGTGATGCTCAGCGAACGCAACTCAGCGGCAAATGGAGTCGTCAACGCCACCTCCATTCGCAGGGTTAAAGATTCCACAGTGCCCTGCAACCAGTCGTTTTATTGAAAGCGCAGGCTTCCAAGGCCAGAGTTCGTAGCATCTTGCCTGCCCGGGAGGCAAGTTCTTATTTTCCACTGGAGTAGTGAATGGGACTTATTCAGAGCTCTTTGTTTGTCAGTGATGGCGGAAAACAAGTGTCAGCTGCTGCAGAGAAGAGACAACTTTGGGCGTGTGCCCTTAGATTTTAGGCTGGCAATTGGGAAACGCGTGAAATACCTTCGGCGTTCCTATCACTTTGCGAAAGGAACGGAAAAGAGATCAGGCGACCTCCGGGCGTGTGCCCTTAAATTTTGGGCTGGGAAAATGTGGCTAATTTTATTTGGAAGAAAGAGAATGCATATATTGACACGTCTAAAAACAAAACAAAACCAGTGGTGTTCACAGCAAAAAAATAGAAAAGTGCTAAGAATAATGTATCCAGATGTTGCAAATGACCTTACCACAAAATCTCCAGACACGCAGATGGAAGGAAATAGCCAGAGACCCACTTGAGCGAAATAATTGGTGATGCTGACGGTGAGTTTCCGCAGAGCAATTGTCGCGTCTAGGACCAAGACGCCCCCTGATTCTTCGCGTGTTGTGGCACACCCCACGCGGTGAGTGGTGTCCAAATGTTTCAGGACGCAGTCATCCGCCTTGAAAGTAAAGTTCGTCTGCACAAAGGGAGCAACAGATAAATTGAGAACCATGGTCAGGGAGTTTGGCACGTTTTCTCAACAAATAATATTAATGATTGAGTTAATTTTAAGAATTTGGCAAAACTTAGGCGTTTTCATATTATGCATTGCATTTTTATTTAATTTTTCGTCATGAAAATTCAGCTAGATATTTCTTTTTTGATGCAATACTCTCTAAATTTTTGGGGATACGTATTGAAGTTTTTTTTTCTTGCGCGGCAAAGTAAGTTTGAGAATATTATAGTTAAAATTCATAGTTTTCTAAACATCCTAACCATCAATGATGAAGTCGAAAGGAAACGAGTGATTTTTCATTTATTATTAGATATTTTTTTAGCTTTGTCCCTGAAAAATTAATTACTTTCATTATTTCGTTTTTGTAATCAATGGGATCTCGATCACGATTACTCTAATCGATCGGAAGTTAATATTCGAGTATTGACCTCCAATCGATCCCTTTAACATTTCTTCGATCACACGGGCCAATACTGACGCATTGGTAACAACCCCTTGCACTACGCATTACGGTTGTGCGTAACAAAGAAAAGTAAAAAAAAAAAAAAAAAAGTAAAACTGTATTTCCATGTCTTTTTAAATGACGGTAATGTGCCGGTAATGTGACTGTAATCTAAAAAATCAAAACTTTAAACCTTCTTTTGCAGTTTTGAAGATTTTAGGTACACTCACTTCGTAGCAATGAAATTAAACCTCAAAATGCTTGTAAAATTACGTTTACTATTACATACCGTGTGCAATTCATTGCATGGATCTAAGGCTTTCTATTTGATAATAATCTCTTGGCAATATTAGGCAATATTGTTTACTAATTCACTAGGCCTACTAGAGAACCGATTTTCATGTACATACAGAGTGAGTTACGTAACTTTAGCATCTCCTGTAATTTTTGAACGGTTGAAGTTATTGCAATGCAGTTTTCAAGGAAACGCATGAGGGATTGGGGCTAATTGAACGGCGTAATCGTTTCTATTTTATCACTTGTATATTACGAGATATTGAGGTAATTTTGCCTTTTCAAACGGAACTATACATGTCTAAGTCTATCATGACGAGCGTAAAAATACGAATTCAATGATATACATATTGTTCTATGTTAGATAAGCATTATTTTTTAGTAATTTCGATTGTTTGCGACTAATGTATAACTGATATTGTAACGCCCCGAGCGCGCTTAGCAGGGAGAGCGCTGCATGACTGTAGCATTCAAAATATCCGTTAAATACTAGTCGCACAAAAATCGAAATTACTCAAAAAATACTTATCGAACACAATATAACAATGCGTATATCATTGGATTCGTCTTTTTTACGCTCGGTATGACATGCTAAAAATTGTGTGTAGATCCTTTTGCAAAAAAAGCAAAGGTACCCCCATATCTCGTAAAAATGCACATGATAAAATGGAATCGAATACATGCTCCATTCGCTCGTGCGTTTCCATGAAAACTGCATTACAATAACTTCAACCATTCAAAATTACAGGAGGTGGTAAAGTTACGTGTCTCACACTGTATGTTTAGAGGAACAAGATACCTGTATTCAATAATATATTTTAATTTACAAGAAATTTTGAACGAATCAGAAGAATTTTTAATTTACATATTATGGGGTTATTATGTATTTTTACATATTTTCATATTACTACTTATTTACATTTGTTATACAGTACTATTTATACGCTCAAAAGGAATATTTCTGATACGAATTCGCAATATATGTTACTGTACGCTAATCATCGTTCCCTCATAGAAATGTGATTTTATGACCACCGGTCATAATTCATGATTTGTTAAACCTATTCCCCCCTCCCAACCGGCAAAAATAGTTCTAGGTATCAAATGATTTCACAGCAGGGCTTGTGTTCCCGCGCAGAGAATGGCAAGATTTTCGCAACTAGCTCGTCACCATGTACCGCAGCCTCGCCATGTCGTACGAATTCAGCCGCAGTCTCGAGGAGAAGTCTAGTGGCAGGCTGCTCTGGTCGGTAGCATTCCATGGTCTCTCCTATCAACCCCACGCGAATGCTGTAGTAGTACCCTAACAAACGGGCCACGGAACGCGCGCGATCTTTCCTTCTACCTCCTTGTCCTTTCTTCCCCCTTACTTACACACACACACTCCAAAGCACTACACTACCACACTACCCGAAGACTGGTCGGGAGCTTGGAGGTTATCCCCGCTGGGGCGATGCCACGCTGTTGGGAGACACCTGTGTGGGAAAATTTCCATGGTCTCTCCTATCAACCCCACGCGAATGCCGTAGTAGTACCCTAACAAACGGGCCACGGACCGCGCGCGATATTTCCTTTTCCCTCCTTGTCCTTTCCTCCCCCTTACTTACACACACACACACACTCCAATGTAGTACACTACCACACTACCCGAAGACTGGTCGGAAGCTTGGAGGTTCTCCCCGCTGGGGCGATGCCACGCTGTTGGGAGACACCTGTTTGGGGGAATTTCCATAGTCGCTCCTATCAACCCCACGCGAATGCCGTAGTAGTACCCTAACAAACGGGCCACGGACCGCGCGCGATATTTCTTTCTCCCTCCTTGTCTTTTCCTCCCCCTTACTTACACACACACACACACACACTCCAATGCACTACACTACCACACATACCCAAAGACTGGTCGGAAGCTTGGAGGTTGTCCCCGCTGGGGTGATGCCACGCTGTTGGGAGACACCTGTTTGTGGGAAATCCCCGTAAGCCGAGGTAGGTCAGCGCCAGATGTCGCCGGCATTACGCGGTAAAACCACCGCCTCCTCCCGCGATAAAAACATGCACTACACTTAAGGAACTAGCGCCCGAAATCACTAATCTGTCAATCAATTTAACTCC